TTTCCTTGCCAGAATGCACTCCGGTTTTGGGGGGCCTTTCTCGTCTACAAGTCTCAGCCTCCGACACTCTTTGGGAGGTCTTGTACCCCCCACCCCAAGGGGAAAAGGGCCAGTCCAAGGAACCATAAACATTATATTTCATTGATTCTAATAATCACACCTTTTTCACATTTTAACATCTACTAAATTGAGATTCATCTCGGAATTGGTGGTATGTCACAGCATAATTGGCAGCGTTTTTTTTTTTCTTTCTTTATAGCACAAAAATAATGGTGAAAATTGTAACAAAAGTCATCTTAGATTTGAAGTAGCAGAATTTAAGAAAGCAAAAAAGGTCACACTGGTAACCACGCAAAGATTTTGTTGGCATGGAATCCCTGTTCTTCCCTCACCTCACCATGTCGCTTCGTGTTGGCCCGCTAAATCAGCGTGACAAAGGTCCTTCATGCTGGCCTCTGAGTGTTTCCTGTTAAGTAGGCCTCTCTTGAGTCCTTCAGTTAAACATTTATTGAATACCTACCATGCGCCAAGGACAGCAAGAGGAGCAAAATGGTCTTTGCTTTTTTGATCACAGGCCCTTTGAAGATGTTACCCACTAGCATTATAAGTTGGCCCGGTCACATGCCACATCGGTTGTTCCGCGCCATCTAGATTCCTTAATCTTTCCATCTCCCATAAGGAAGGCGCTATTCCGGGTGATCGTTTTGAACTGTGTCATAGGGCAGCAGTATGGCTTAACTGCTTCAAGCTGATTCATCTCCTTCACGGCCTCGTCACTTTACTTCGCTCAGGTTTCTTCCCAACGTGCAGATCTGACATGTTGCATCTGTCTTTGTCAGACTTCCATAGGAACTACAGCCAGTCCAAATGCAATTCCCTCAGCGTTTAGTTTTTCTCTTTACTCATCGTCGTTACTTTATATAGCTCCCGGGAAGAGCCCACTGAGAATGTGTCAGCCGGCACTTGCTCAGGCCTACAAGGAAGCTGCTGTTTCTTCCCCTGGAATTAAGTTATCCTCAAGAGGTTGGTGTCTGGATAAAGATTTCTGAGAGTGATTACCTCTCTTTTTCATGTTCTCTGCTTGAATCTCTAAGTGCCGTCGCTTGGGATAGCAAATAGCCAACATGTGCTCTCTTGGTAGGGCCTTGCCCACAGTGAGGTTTTGCTTGTATTTTCATTTTTTCTTCTTTAATTGAGATATAATTGACATACTCTGTAGTGTTAAGTTTAAGGTGTCCATCGGTTGCTTTCATACATTTCTATATTGCGTATGATTACTACAGTGGCATTAGCTGACACCTTTATCAGGTCACATAATTATCATTTCTTTTTGTGTTGAGAACAGTTAAGATCGAATCTCTCAGCAGCTTTGAAGTTTATAATATGGTATTGTTGACTTGAATCACTGTGATGTGCATTAGATCACCAGGACTTATATACTAGTTGTAAGTTTGTACCCGAAACGACGTTTCCCCCCCACCCCCACCCCTGCTCCAGATGGCCCACATTCGCCTCTTTTTTTACAAGTTCAGTTTTTTTTGGATTCCTATTAGGATAGCTTTTTAAAAAAAATTTATTTTATTAGTTTCAAGTATACAGTACATTGTTTAGACATTTATTTAGTTTATAAACGATCCCCCTGATTGCTCTCTCTCTCTCCTCTGGCTCTACACACAGCCATTACCTTACTGCTGACTGCGTTCCCTATGCCGTGCTCCCCATCCCCGTGACCATCTATCAACTACTGATTTGTACTTCTTTAACCCTTCACCCCATTCTCCCAGCCCCCGAAACCCCCATCCCCTCTGGCCATCACCAGATTGTCCTCTATATTTGTGAGTCTGTTTTTAATTAGTTTGTTCTTTTTGTTCCTTAGATTTTGCATTTAAGTGAAATCATATGGTATTTATCTTTCTTTGACTTACTTCACTCAGCATAATAACCTCTAGGTCCATCCATGTCATTGCAAATGGTAGGATTTCATTTTGTAATGGCTGAGTAATATTCCATTGTACATTTGAATCATAACTTCTTTATCCCATCGCCTGTTGTTGGGCACTTAGGTTGCTTCCATATCTAGGCTGTTGTGAATTGTGCTGCCATGAACACAAGGGTGCAAAAAACCAAGAGATAACAAATGTCGGCGAGGATGTGGAGGAAAGGGAATCTTTACACCGGGTTGATGGGATTGTAAATTTAGGGAAAACATAATGGTGGTTTCTCACCAAATTAAAAATTGCACTTGCGGTCTACGGCCACGCCACCCTGAGCGTGCCCGATCCCGTCTGATCTCGAAAGCTAAGCAGGGTTGGGCCTGGTTAGTACTTGGATGGGAGACCATCTAGGGATGCCAGGTGCTGTAGGTGCTAAAAAAATTGCACTTCCACATGTCCAGCAATCCCACTCCTGGGTATATATTCGGAGGAAGTCAAATCAGTTTCTCAGAAAGGTATCTACGTGCCCGTGTTCGCTGCAGCATTATTCACTATGCTCAGGATGTAGAAGCTACCTAGGAAATCCTGCCTCTTGTGACAACACGGATGGACCGTGAAGACATTATACTGAGATAACTCAGATAGAGAAGGACAAGTACTTTATGATGTCACTTATATGTGGAATCTAAAAAAACCTGAGCTTGTTTTACTTTTAATTTAATTTAAATTTGCATGTGTTATACATATACTCGCTACAAAATTGAAAGAGTACAAAAGACAAACTGTGGAAAAAAGTTCCCTTTTCACCCCGTTTCCCAACGACCCAGTTTTCATCCCAGGAAACAATCACACTTACTGGTTTAATTTACCTTCCAGTTATTTCTTTAAAATAACTTTTTGTTATGGAAAATTTCAAACCCTCATGGGAGTAAAGGGGATGGTATAATGAACCTTCCTGTGCCTGATCTCGTCTCAGCTCCGCCCTCACCCGCTTTCTTCCTTACTGGGTGATTTTGAAGCAGATTTCAGATGTCATATCAGTTCATCCGTAACTGTCTCTGTCTGTATCACTAGAAGATAAGAACCCTTTTTTTTTATACAGAGCCACAATACCATTTTTACACCTAAAAAGCAACAATAATTTCTTAACATCATCACATCAAAAAATTTCCCAATTGTCTGAATTATTTTTTGCGGTATAGATCTTTGCATTGGGATCCAAACAGGGTCCACATGTTGCATAATCACATTTGGTTAAATCTCAAGTCTCTCTCAACCTACGGCTCCCCCTACCCTGTTTTTGTTTTTTTCCTTCTTTCTTTCTATTTATCTGTGGAAATAGCTGGGTCGTTGATCCTGTAGAATTTCCCACATTCTCCTGATTCCATCACCGAATACGGTCTGCCATATAGTTAAACACTCAATACCTGTTAGCTCTTAAAAATAAATGGTAGGTATATATACAATGGAATATCAGTCTTAAAAAATGAAATCTTACCATTTGCAATGACATGAATGGACCTAGAGGGTATTATGCGGAGTGAAATGAGTCAGAGAAAGACAAATACCATACGATCTCACTTATAGGTAGAATGCGAAGAACAAAATAAACAAAACAAAAACAGACTTATAGATACAGAGAACATTTTGATGGTGGCCACATGGGAGGACGTTTGGGGGACTGGGTGATAAAAGAGGGAAGGGATTAAGAAGTACAAATTGGTGGTTACAAAATAGTCACAGAGTTGTAAAGTACAGCACAGGGAATATAGTCAGTAATATTATAATAATCATCTATAGTGCCAGGTGGGCACTAGGCTAATTGAAGGGTCCACTGATCTGATTGGTCTGACTATTCTTGAACTAGGATAACCCTGTTACTGTGATAGCATCATAAATCATCTTATCGAGTAGCACAGATTCTCCCCAATTATGCTTTTTAAAAAATCAGTTATATTTTTTCTAGTTTGTTGTCCCATGTAAACTTTGGAAATATTTTGTCATGTTCCAGAAAACATAAGTTTGTTGGCATTTTGATTCGAATTGTATCAAATCCATAAATTAATCGGAATCGAGTTGACGGATTTTCAATATTTAGTCTTTATATCTAGAATCACGGTACTTTTTCATTTATGCAAGTTTTCTTTTTATGTTTTATACTTTTCTTTAAAAAAGTCCTAAATAATTATGGACATTTATTCCCAGGTTCGATTATAAAAATAACACACACACACAGAATGTCATTTTTTCTCTATAAAGCTTTTGAACCGATTATTGTTAGTATATAGGATGTTTATGATTTCCTATCTTTATTTTATGAGCAGGTATTTTAATAAGCTTTCTTGCGGATTTTAACAAACATTCAATTACTTATCTTTGGTAGACAGTTATGCCACAGGTAAATGTTAAGAAGAATGAAATGCTCTGTGCATATTTTTTAAAAGGCTGCTTTACCTCTCCTCCTCTGAGAAGCATGAAAATATGAGGGAATTTTTCTGAGATCTTCACTGGGAGAACCTGATAGGGCTTCTAGAAGTAAAACACACAAAAGTGTGGGGTCCCCCCCAGGACTGGACCCCCTTAGAGTTTTTCACTCTCAATCTCGTCCACGTGGAGCCTCTAGCAGTCATTAGTTATGGATTCGGTTTGTCTAACCTTGTACTCATTCCCAAGGAGTTTTTGGCTCTTTGTCCTCTACTCTAGTTAGTTTTGGTTCTCTGTATCTGCCTGTCAATGTCTTCAGTTTTGGGGACAGTAGTAGTTTGCCTTATGTGTGACCTCAGTCTTCCGATTGACTTAAGAAGAGTTGATTTTCTGTTTGTTCCTTTTCTTGTGGTAAGAATGGAAGAGGTGATTTCCAAACTCCGTGCTTACGTGTCTGACTGAAATAAGTTCGAGGGAAGTTTTGAGACATCGAAGACATTTTTCTTATATCGTTTTCATCCCTCGAAAACTGGTTAGAGTAACGTTGTTTTAACTAATGCACTTTATTTTTCTTTTAAAGGGGGTAAAGGGTAAGATCTTTTGAAATGTTCACTTTTTTTCTTATTTTCTTTTCTCAAATAGATCCTAAATGCCCAGGAGATGTTGATTTTCTTGATAATGATTGGGACATTAAGACAATCACCAGCTCATTGAAATTCTACCTCAGGTATGCCTGCTATGGTACAGAACTTTGCTTTTCATAAATTGTTGAAACTTGCTCGTGGTGGCGTTTGGAGTAGACGTGGTCCCAGTTTCAGGAGATTGCATGGGATCGCTAAAGAAAAAAGGAAAGAAAAGGATTTCTGTCAAAGAAAAATGTGCATTAGACAACATTTCTTTAAATCTGGGAATTTAAGAGGGAAGCGTTAAAGTAATAGAATTGTTATTGAAAAATAGCCTGTTTGGTGTGTGGGGGGGTTATTTTAAAAATCATGCCCTTAAAACATTGAAGTTTTGCCATTGTGCACAGATAGTGAGTGATGTCACAGTGGGCTCACTGGTAAAATCAGAAGTCGTGACAATTCAAGGTTGTTAACCTGTTTTGGTGGCTAACCATTTTGAAACATTAAATTGCATTCGCACAAACTTAATGTATGCGTTTGTGTGTGTGATATCTGCACACACTGTAATCAATATAATGGGAAAAAAACCCAAGAAAATACAATAATAAAAATGTTGGAACTAAATGAAGTGGCAGCAGTAGAAAAAAAATTTATTCACCAGCAAAATTTGAGGATGCGCAACGATGATGACCATATCCTTCACTTTGTTGGCATAAGTTATATTATGTAAAATATTTGTTACAGACATACGTTTAGAACTCATTCATTTCTTACCATTCTTTATGTCCCATAGTATACACCATACTTTATGTGCTATAATGTCGTCTTTTCAATTCTTGTACTTTTTGGCCATTAAGATAGATACTTAAGCTCTGGGAAATATCATTAATCCAAAACAGATTGGGTCCCAGATAGTGCTATTAAATGACCTGCTGTAGCATCGTCTCAGAACTGTGTATAAACATGAACGCTCTTACCAAGAGTATTTCTCCTACATCTGCCGAAAAAGGAAGATACTATTGTTGGAGAGTTTACTCTGTGCTAGGCAGTGTTCTAGTTGCTTGCATTGATAATATCGTTTTTTCTCGCGATAAGCTTGTACAGGAGGTGGTATGTGCTCATTTTACAGATGAGAAATCGAAGCTCATCCTTATCGAGCAGTATCCATGGTCACAGCTCATATTATCTGAACCTAAGTATCTTTGACTTATAAGGCTACCTTCCTTGTACTGGGGCTCCTTCCCCTATTCCTTACCCCAGAGACTGTGGCTTTCTTGGGGTCGCTTGGATAATTTAGTAAAGACGAAGAGAAATCTGCTATGCAAACTTTCAGAAGACTTAGATGATGAGAATATTAAAAGTAAATGATTCTGTCTCTAGCCTCTTTCAAAGGTGTCAATTTTTTCCAAGATTTACATAGCTTAAGTCCCTTCTTGTGTTATAGCTTTCCCAGCTCATCCCTTAATAAGCAGTGTGGCCCTTTTGAAAGATTGGAAGATCCAGCCTGAGGGTGTGAGTAGACAGTGCCCCCAGGAGGAGATGTTAGTCCTTAAGACACTTATCCATGGGCGTTAATACGCACTAGCCAGCCAACACTCTTTAAAATTCTCAAAGATATCAGTATTTTCAGAGCAGGCCTCCTTCATCTGCGTTCTAGGTGCATGACTCACTCCCATCTCCATGATTTACAGAAAAGTGCCCTAAAAACCATCCCTCCCTTCTCTCTCCTGCGTCTTGAACCTCTCTCATTCAACTGACTCTTTCTCCTCAGCATGTGCAGATGCTCCACCAGGGCGCATCTCGACCCCGCGCCGTCTCTCATTCATCAGTCCACCATTTGCTAAATCATTCAGTAAACATTTCCTGAGTGCCTACTCTGCAGTCTAGCGTCGTGCCAGGCAGTAGGCATCCAGCTGGCAGTAGATATGATCACTGACATTAAAAAGGTCATAGACCAGTGAGAGAGACAGAGAAAAGATAAATTAAAATATAACAAACTGTAATAAGTGCTCCGAAGTGCTGTTGGCAGGGTCACCAGTTACTCCCTCAAGGCTAAACACAGTCGACTACCATCAGTCTTTACCCTCCTTGAGCTCCCTGTAGCATCTGAAGCTGTTACGACGCCCTTTTTGAAACTTTCTCCTCTTTTGGATTCTGCTTGATCACCTGCTTCTGGATTTTCTCCCGCCTCTTTGACCATTTCCAGCAGTCCCCTTTATGGACTTCCTACTTGCTGTTTCCCAGGCCTCTTCTCTCGTTTTACTGCACTGGAGAGACGGGAAATTTAAATATCCACAGGGTCCGAGACATGAGAACGAGTGCGACATAGGCCACTTGCGTATTGCACGTGGAACCTTTGTTCGCATAGCAACCCCTTTTGTTTCTATGTAAACAGGAAGATCCTTTACTTCCATAAATCACCGTACGGGCCCGATGTAGCCAGATCTTCCAGTTTTTTCATAGGGGCAGAAATATGGATTTTCATGTGAAATATATCAATTTTGCATATTGTGACGACCGATTCCATTCCATTTTTTTATATACTGTTCCAGAGATACAAGGGATCCCGGAGGGACTCTCGTAGCTGCTGGCTGCCAGTTTGCCATCTCTCCTTGAGCAGTGGCATCTGCTCTCATGGTTTTAACCACCATCCTAGGTTTGGGATTTCTGTACCTACTTCTCAGATCAGGAAGGGCGCTCCATCCATCATCCTAATAGAGATGTCCCTTTGTCCCAGAGATCCCTGTGACTTACCATTTCCTCTTTCTTCCAAATCCATTTTTATTCTGTCTAGTCACCCAAACCAGA